CGTGATATTAAGCATGCATTTTAGCCCACTCAACAGTGTTCGACCTTGTGATTGAGCATTTAGTATGGTTGTTGGAGCGCATGATGGGTATTATGTTTTTTAGCTTAGATTGAAATTTAGGAGATTTTATTATTATTTGCACGGGTTTGTTATTATTAAGTTTTGTGCAAATTTTTCATTTTAAGCTTTCAGTTTTGCCTTCTGTCCGCTTATCTAATTGAGATTGCGAATCTAATGGAAAAGTTTGGATTTATGTGCATTAAAGCTTTGACATTAATATGGGCGGCAAAATTTCTTTCAAACTGAATTAAATCTTTGACATTAATCTGGACGACAAAGCTTGTTTGCATGTGGAATTTTTAGTTAAAGCGACACTCACATGAGTATCTTTTTCTTTCTGTAAAAGGAAGGAACATAAGTATTTTTTTCTTTCTGATAAAAGGAGGGGCTCTTTGGCTTCATTTCATGTCTCAGAATTTTTTAGTTGGGCACAAATTGCTTATTTTGTGTTATTGGAGTTTGATTTTTTTTTCAAGCGTCCAAGTTCTTTTTGTTTTTAATATTTTATATTTTCGCTTTTCTTTTTAAGTATTTTGCACTTTTTCAAATTTCTCTTATAGTTTCATTTAGATCATTTTAAGTCCATTTTAAACCCAATTTAGATCATATTAAGGCTCTTTAAATTTGCGCTAAGAACTGATAGAATTTTGACAGTCTCTCGACATCTTCCCTCTTTAGAGGGCTGCATCGGAAGACTAAGCTTGTTGATCACGCTAAGAAAGGCGTGAATGATCGGTGTTGTAAAACACCGTGACCGAAATAATTGAAACTCATTACGCCAAGACAGGCGCAAATGCGATACCTGTAGACATATTTCACAGTATAAATTTTCCATTGCGTTGTGAGGTTCGCCTATGACTTTTCCTCACAATGCGAAGAAAAGCATTTACTTGTTCCGCTCGTCGCGCCAAACATATTGCTAAAAGAATACGTTGTGAATGCCGCATATGAGTTTTACTTGCCACGCTAAGAAAAACGTGCAAGGGTTTCACTCGTTGCGCCAAACATGTCGTAAAAGTGAATCACGTTGCGAATGTAGTCTATGAGTTTCCCTCACGACGCTATGAAAAGTGTGCACGAGTTCCGCTCGTCTCTTCAAAAGCATCGCGATCCTCTTTAGGAGTTGAGAAATACCAACAATTTATACCTTTGTATTGATCGATGATGGTAAAGAGACGAACTTCTACGAATTTCTCGATACAATTTACTCTCCCTCTCCCTGCATTAGAACCATTTACATTCTCACTTAGATACACATCTTTTCCCCTTCACATTTTACAAACATGTACATATGCATACACTTATTTAATCTTACACAAGTTTTATCTCAAACTTCTCCAACAAAATACCCACAGCAACAACTTCAATCCCAACCATTTACATACCCACACATACATACACGTTTTTTCCCCTCCACATTCTACAAGCATGTACATACATACACATATGCATCTCACACAAGTTTTATTATCCCAAACTTCTCCAACAAAATTCCCACTGCAATAACTTCAATCACAACATAACATTAAAATTATCTCTTTTCTGTTTTATCTTAACCTGGAATGAAGAGCTTACGGTTGGCTGTTGTTTGTTGCTCACGGGTTGGTAGCAGAATAGGATGGCAAGGTGAGCCTCTGTAGTTTGCACGGGAGAGTAGGGTTGGGAGTTTGACAGGGAGGCAGTAGGAGGATGGCTTATTGTTGAACTAAAAGTGCACAAGCGAGAGCAGAAGAGGGGCTCTCAGGATAGAAGTTTTGAGAAGGGGTTGTAGTTTGTAGGTCGGGTGTGAAAGAAAAAGATAGATTTTGATAGCTGGGTGTGGGGGTGAACTGGGATAGGCGCTACCAGGGGGGAAAACATGGTGCGGGAGAGGAGGTGCAGTGGATGGGTGATGCGTTGAGGCTTGTGGGTACAGGCTGGAGAGATGCGGTTGCGAAGAGTGTGAGGGGAGAGGAAGTTCGCTGATGGCAGTGAAGGGAGAGAGCGAGGAGCTGAGGGCTTGGTTGAGAAAGTGAGGCGGGACTGAGGTAACGGACTCCTGGAGGAAGCAGGGAGGTGTGGGGCTTTTGTGGAATGAGATGCTTGCAAATAAGACGAGAGAGGAAGGAAGATGGGAGAGAGAGCTAAGAGCATTCAGTTTGAGGCTTGGGTTGTGTTGGAGAGTTCGCCGGGAAGATCTCGCCTATGGGAGTTCGTCGGAAGTGGGGAGCAATGGGGATGGCGAGACAGAGAGGGTGGAGGGAAAGAGGGAGAAGGAGATGGGGGTTGTGGGCTTTCGTGCATGAGCAAAGGGAAAAAAATTCAGTGGAAGGACTTCACGAGGGTGGGAATGGGGTGATTTTTGGAAATGAGAGTGAGGTGAGGTTTTTTAATTTTCTTGTTATTTTTTTATTTTCTTATATGATGTGGAGAGTTGTTATTGGATATGTAGGGAGGCAAAATGGGTTAAGAAAAGCCTAAAGCGTTGGGGGAAGTGAGAGAAATCAATTAATTTTAATTAATTAGTTTTTTACATTTTAAATAAAATTTAGGATCTTGAATTTTTTTGTCAATAATTTCACGTGTAAGACACGAGCAATATGGGCGTCTTCCCTAGAGAAGGTTGACATTCTAGACGCTCTCTCACAATCCATTTTGCGATAGGATGTTGTTTGATTGAGTTCATCAACAATAGAGATAATTCGGGTTTGATTCATGCGTGTCGCATTGGCAACCTGCCCTTTTCACTTTTCTTGCTCATTTTGATTATGTAAGACTAATTTTTAGGCAATTTTGATATTTTGGACACATTGACACAACCAGTTTTGCAGTCAATGGCCACAATTGTGTGAGTTTACTCGTAGTTAAATGGCTTTGATTTAAATTCATGAGGTTTCTTGTCTTCTGCCCGCCACATTTGTTAGCGACAATTTTTTCTGGTTCTGCCATAGGCATAGGGATCAGCAGAAGGAATTGATATTTTTAATTTATGCTTCTAAAATAATTTCGCTTGTTCTCTCTAAGTAATCAGAAAAGTTGCTATATTTCTCTTAGTTTGTCTCCATCCAAGCTGCAACATATATTTTAATGCCCTTACCTTCTCAAGTCTTGTACTTTATATTCAGTGGGTGTATTACATGCTCAATTGGAATGATATACAGTATCTTGGTGATAGTTACTCCCTTCAATCTGTGCATTTTTAAACAGGGTGGAATTGGTAATGTGGGCATGCCCCGTATGCTTCCTAATTATTTACAACTTAGTATCATAACTTTTAAATCCCCGTTTCTTCAAATAGATTTATTGAAAGAAATAATGTTGTTGATAAAACCAGGGAAGAAATGGATGCCTCTAAGCACCTTTTTTTCCTAAAAATCTTTAATGCGTGCTGATGTTTATAAATGGTCTTTGGAACGGAATCTTATGCATTTAAAGGAAGAGCATAATGCAAGAGGACAAAGGTAGGTTGTAATTGGAGCAAGACTAAGTTAATATAAAACACTAAGGGAAATAAAAAAAAAAAACACTTAAGTTGTTTGGGCTCACTTTGTATTTTTGTCTTTTTTCTTAAATATTTTTTATTTATGTTTTAATGCAAAATAAAAACATGTTTGATATTTTCGTTGAAGTTTTTTTCCCCATCTTTATTTAATATTGCATCAGCCAATTTAATTGGTGCTGGCAACAATGGCAAAGGGAGGCAAGGTGGCGATGGCCAATGAATGCGATGTGGCAACAAGTGGTGGTGGCGGCGGAGAACAGTGGGGAGGTGGTTGGCTAGGTTGTGGCTGTGGTCAGTGGGGCGACAGTGGCCGACTGCAGGGTGGTGGTGTGCACAAGGTGGCTGAGAATTCATGGCTTGAAAATCGAAATGATACCTAAAAGTTCTTTTAATGGTTTTAAAAAAAATTAACAAAACTAGCCATAAAGCAATAATCAAACATATTTTTAAAATAAAATAACAAAAGTAAAAATAAAAAGTGATGCCAAACTTGCCCTTAAGCATGATTAGCTTGTTGGACCATCAACAATCTTTTACCGGTATATATGAAGTTCATGGATTAGACAGATAATTTCCACCTCTGTAATAAACTTTTACCATTTCTAAATTCATGCTATTTTCTAAACTTTATGCTCAGTTTATTATGGTACGGAGGATTTCAAGTTTCTGTCAAATTTGTGCAATTAAAATTCCACCAGAGATTTTAGTACACGGGAATCATTTCCTTTCTCCATAACATTTTAACAAAAACCTTGCTATTCACTTTAAATGAAATTATCTGTTAGTTGGAAATAAGTTTCTAATGGACTTCCAATTAATTTTGTCAGCCAAAGGTGCTAGTTTGGTTGACACTGTCGCAAATTGGAATTACTACCTAAAAATTATTACAATTACTCCTTAGGTATTGCTAGGTCTGAAGGTCTATTTCCAACTTTAACATAACTGCAAGTTTACCTTTCTGTACATGCTTAGGGTAAAAATTCAACCTTTTTCCTCTATTTATTATGGTGATGCTACACGTATTGACAGTAAAGTTACAGATACAAATGGCATGAAACCTTTATATTTTTTATAGCTTTTTTAATGAGTAAAGTGCCAAAATAGTCCCAACTATTTACAGGGGTGTTTTAGTCCTTGTTTATTTTAAAATTGAGCTCTAATAGTCCTTAATGGAGACTATTTCAGTCCCAATTTAAAGAATTCGGAGACTATTTTGACACTTATATAAACTCTGAGACTAAAATGACCCCATATAAATAGTCAGAAACTATTTTGCCACTTCACTCCTTTTTTAGTTTTAGCCTTATGTGTAAATGTTGTTTCAAATTTGTATATACTGCAATATTCTTTTGGTTAAAATTTGATTAATCGTACTATTTTGCTTCATTTTTGGAGGCTGTAAATACAATTTTGCATCTTTTTTTACCTTTTAATTTGATCTTGTTGTTAACATTTGCAGATTTACTTCTGCCCTAGGTGGTATTGATGTAGTTGACATTATCCAGAGAACCACGGATAGACTTGAGACGGTTTACTCAGAGGGTGTTCAAGTAAGCAAATATAATGAATACTTTTTTCTTCTTTTCGACATCCATCCTAATCACAAAGGCACGAGGGCTAAATTATAAAAAAAAAAAACAGAGAGATAAAGAGAGAGAGAGAGAGATCCAAAGCAATTAAACTATGTCATGAATTTTGTTTGTTGTATATAGAATTCAAGTAAAATTGTTTTTATGCAGAGACTATCTGAGTTTTGTTGCTTTGCATTGTCACATCTTCTAATGCTAAGCAAGTCGGTCATATCTAGCGCAAACAGATCAAAGTCTGAGGAAGCTGATGATGATAACATAAAAATTGACTGGCCTGAGGACTCTATTTTAAAGGCCCAGATCATCAGATCCAAAGTCCAGCTAATGTTTGTAGACATGGAATCCATTTCTAACAGTTTCTTCACAGGTACGTTCCATTTGTTGTGGGCACACCAGGATTTAGTTTTTCTTTTTATTCCTCTCTGTATTGCATTATACTTAAGAGTACAGCTGAGTTTGCAATTTGCCAGCTGTAAAATTAAAATGATTCCTGCAGGGTTGCCCATAAAATAGTTTAGTATTTTCTTATGCCTATCCTTTTTAATATTTTAGTTAAGTTAGGTATATGAAAACTAAAGATAATAGGATATTGTAAGGATGGAGAAATAAAAAAAAGATAAAAATATTACTTTGAGAAATTATAAACAAGGGCAAGATGAAATCTTCCCATAAAAATAAATGAACAACTATCATGAAGTATTCCATATATTGATCTCAAAGTCTGAAGTTGAATTATGCTGGGAAATATAAGAAGTAGCGGTTTAGTCCAATGTAGATATTTATAAAGATTAAGGGTCTGTTTGGGGGGGGGGGGGGGGGGGGGTTGCGCGGCCAAACCGGTGCGGTTTGAAACTACATTTTTGTGTCGTTTGGGGAGGAGGCGGCACTATGGTGCGGGGCGTCTTAGCGAAAATGCGGGTCATGGGTTCGACCCCGTGGCCTGCGTTTCTTCGCGATATTATTACTAAACGCCCCCCTCTCTCTTGAGCTTCGTGATATTCTTCTACCCCGGCTTCGCCTTTTCTTCCCTAACCCGCTCCGGAGCTCTCGCGTTTTCTCCTGTGCCCCGCTCGTCCTCATCCCACATTTGCTCGTCTTCTTTCTCTTCGTTCCCCGACACCTGTGAGGAGGGTTTCCCTCCATTTGCCTCTTCTTCTGGTATCTGTCGGTGCTAAAAGTGTTTGGGGAGGTTTGTGGGTTGCCCGTAAGAAGCTGTCAGTTGCTGGAAGTGAAGTCCCGTCGCCCGCTTCGGAAGGACGTTTAATTTACATATATACACACACACACACACACACACACACACACACACACACATATATATATATATATATATA